TGTTAATATTTTATTATTTATGGAATCTATAATGACGGCCCCTTCAGATGTGCGGTTCAAACAGCGTGCTGTTATTGAATTTCTCGTTGCAGAAAATGTGAAGCCAGTCGATATTCATAGACGCCTGCTTGCGGTTTATGGAAATCATACTCTCGATGTAAGTTCTGTTCGTCGTTGGGCATTACGGGTTAAAGGTTCTGAAGTAGGAAAAGCGATTATTACCGATCAGGATCGAAGTGGACGACCGGTGACGGTTACTGACGAGGCCCATAAACAAAAAGTCGATGATTTAGTCAAGGGAAATCGGAGGATTAAACAATCAGAAATAGCAATAGCGTTGGGAATATCTAAAGAACGTGTCCAACATATTCTCTGCGAACTTGAATATCGAAAAATATGCGCAAGGTGGGTGCCCAAAATGCTGACGGAAGAAATGAAACAAAATCGCGTAGAAATTTGCCGCCAACTTCTTTTGCGTTTTGAACGTGAGAGAGAAAATTTTTTAAATATTATGGTTACTGGAGATGAATCTTGGGTACATCATTATGACCCGGAAAATAAAAGACAGTCAATGGAATTTCGTCATAAGACTTCACCAGCCCCAAAGAAGTTTAAAGTTCAAGCATCAGCTGGAAAAGTCATGTTGTCTGTGTTTTGGGATTCAAAAGGTGTGATCCACACTGAATACTTAGAAAAAGGATCAACAATAAATTCTATACGATACATAGAGACACTAAAAAGGCTGAAAAAAAGGATTAAGCGTGTTAGACCAAATTTAACCCAATTTTTGCTTCATCACAACAACACAAGACCTCATTGCAGCCGTGCCACAATGATAGCAATTGAATCACTGGGATTTCAAGTCATTCCACATTCACCCTACAGCCCGGATTTGGCACCATGTGATTTTTTTCTGTTTCCTAAGCTCAAAGAACATCTTAAGGGTACAAAATTCAATTCTGACGAGAAAGTTAAAGCTGAAGTTAAACGATGGTTCAATGCTCAACCCGAAGAATTTTATTTGAACGGCATTTTTAAATTAGTAAATCGTTGGCAAAAATGTATCGCCTTAGAAGGTAATTATGTTGAAAAATAATAGTATGTAAATAAAAATCATTTAAATTACTATACGTGTGTTTTTCATTAATTATTCTATGTATAATACTTTTAAAACTACCCGTCAACAGGCATTACTTATCAACCCGCCATCGTATGAGCAACGTCCAAACGAATATATGTAGTTGGTACTTTTTTCTCTTGACCAATTAATAGCTTAAAAATATAATTTACATAGCCGTCTGTACTTGATCCTTTAAAAAATACTTTTATTATTGCTGCTAGAAGAGCACGAGAATAATCACATACGATTTCGTTTGGAGGCTGGATACCCGTAGCCATCCAAGACGCTAACCAATTATAAATTGACAATGTATCTTGTTTTTCAGATATCATTTGTGTTTCGGAAATATGGCCAAAGCTTGTACTTAAAATACCTTCATATAAAAAAATTGGGCCAACAATAAATCCAATGACGTTCGTTTTAATTTTTTCAAAAGACTTCCGGTTACATCAATTGATAATTTTGTATATTCTTTATTGAGATCTTTATACACTGCAATTTGATGGTTTTTCCAATAATAGATGAAAAATGGGTCGATTTCAATATTATGAATAGATCCAGATAGAGTAGAATTGTGTTTAAATTCCATTAAAGATTGGACTGGAAATTTATATTTTATGCCCATTACTTTATCTCTACTTCCTTGTTTTACCTTCCGTAATGTAGGTAAAGAATATAAATTTGGGGGAGAAAATCATGTTAATAACATGATTTCGTCTCCAGTTATTTGCCAAGTCTTTTTCTAATTCTAATCCAACAGCATTTCTTTTTCTGCCTTTTAAAAGTCTCTTTGTACTAGTTGACTTTCCATTCCTCGGGTGTCAGTAGTCAATATTGTTACTAAAAGAGGCTCTCCCTCTAAGGGCCTATGATCACCCCAACCATTTAAATGCACTCCACAACTTTTATCTTTACACTTTGCTTCAAATGAAATAAAATGTTTGCTATTATTTGAACTATATACTTTAACCCTTTTATAGATATAATTACAGGGGAAGTTATAAGATTCAATTAATGCATCATTTATGACATCTGTCCAGGAATTTTGTTTTAAAATTTAATATTCTCTTTTTTTGTTTTTTCTTTTGTACACTATTTTTTCTGGATGGATTGTTCTATAAATGTCATATGGAATGAATAATTCAAAAAATGTTCTGCCTTTTTCAAAAACTGATGAAGATGATATGTCTGTTACGTCTTCGTCAGTTGTTAAATTGTTTGATTCATCCACTGTTTCATTACTTATTTCATTACTTTTATTTTCATGTTCATCATAAACATGATTATATATTTCTTTCAGTTTACTTTTCCATCCATATCTATTTTGTAATAAGCTGATATAAAGACTTTTAGTAGCTACTTTACCATCAATATTTTCTGATATTTGTGTCCAAATAGGGTTGTTTGAACTCAACAAATTCCCAAAATTATTAAATACATTTTATGAACATAACGCATTAAAAACTTGATCCCGATGTACAGAGGGTTTTCTCCTAGGCCTACAGAATAATACATTTTAATTTAAAATTAAACGCAATGTAAATCTAAGTTTTGGATTTTTATAATGCCTTTATTTATTTTTTCAATTTTTTAATACAGGCCTAAATATAATTTATGTAATACACAAAGACTACTCTTTTTATAATTATTTTTATCATTTATTTTTTTATTGTTTTTTTTTGTGAATTAAACACAAATTAAAAAATTAGGGAAAGTTGTTCTGCTGTATAATAGGTGTTTAGTGGATACCGTGATTGAATAGATCACTTTGATGGATGTGTTAAATTTGAATTAAATTATGAATCATTGAACTCAAAGAAAAATATTCAAAGCAGAAATAGTTTATCAGTTTATGATATTTAATGCTAAATAAACTACATTTTCTTTAAATGTGCGTGAAGTTGGCCCCCCCTAAATCAAGCTAGTGACTCCAAACCTTCACAGACATTTTGCAATTAATTTGCTATGTAGTTTTCTTAGTGATTTAGTGTAATAAATTTAGAGATATGAAGAGAATGTAATATTTAAATATAAGTGTTAATATTTACAAAAATATATATATATTAGATTTATATAATTTTTCATTTTGTAGGATGCTGAAAATAGTCGGATGTTCAATATAACAATAATTTATTTATTACAATAGATTTTATTTATATCTATATATATAATATATCAGATTTAGTGCTGCGACAACTGTATATATTGTGTGTATCAAACACACGGGCGCATAGCCCCAGCCTATAATAGGGCACAATGATAATATTTGAAAAATATGTAGAAAGCAAGAAAATAAAACCAATGATACGATTGTAATTACTCATGGAGATTGTTGAACAATAATTGATTGATTTTATTTTTTATACATTATCGTACATCAACGTTTCTTTGACGGTCTGAATAATCGAAATTCAAAATAATTTGGTAATAATTCATTAAATCAGTGGTTCTCAAACTGTGCTCAGCGGAACCTTAGGACTCCACAAAAGATGTTTAGGGGTTTCATGGGCATATCTAAATTAATTAAATTTAAATATTATTATATTTCTTAGTTATCAAGTAAAAACACTTGTTTGATTACAATTTTACATATACCTACTCATTCGATCAGAGTGTTTTAGATTAATTTGGAGAGTACTAGGTTTTTAATTCTCGGAGCACTCTCTCTGGTCAAAATTGTTTACATAAATTAAAACAATCCTTTTGCAATTCAAATACATTCCTCTTTTACTCAGAATTTAAAAATGTTAAATAGAAAAGTGATTGAACACACTCAATAATTTTATAACACACAGTGTATATAATTTTAAATTCATTCTGAAAGACTAAAAAATGTTTTTATTAAGATTTAATATAAAACTTTTTAAAGAAAACAAATTCATAATTTTCAAATAATTCCTATTATGCACCCCCCCACCCATTTTCAAAAAGTTTTAATATTAGAATTAATTAATTTAATTTAATTATAATTGTATCATCCATATATCCTCAGACTATTGGCAAAAAAACAATATATAATTATTAAAATAATATCATTTTAATCAAAATTTGATGAAATTCTAATAATTATACAATCATATCATAGATTATGCATAGATTAGCAATAACCTGTAGTGAATTAATTCTTGTCGTTTACTGAATTACTACCATCACTAATATACGTTTGATCTCTAGTTTGTATATGCCGTCGTGTGTGCAGGGCGATTAAAAAAAAAAAAATCATGGAGGGTGAAATCTTCAAAATTGCCGACTAGAATTTGAAATTCAATATGTTTGTGAACTATTAAGTTATTTTTAGTTTCATTATTGAAGTATGGTGTTATTTTCATTTGGTTGGTTTAACAATTTTTCGAACATATGTTTAAATTCACACACAATTTCCTTACTCTCCGTTAGTAAGGATCCATCATGATTCTTCATTACTGTTGGTCTAATTTGATATCCACGTTTAACTTCGTTTGCTTTTTTGAAAAATATTTTTGAGTTGTTATTTCTGTTGTTTTCTATGATGTGTATTCGTTCTTTTTTCCAATAGTCTCTTATTCCTTCTGATGATCTTTTTTGCATCCCTTTGTTATTGTGCTAGTAGCCTTTTATTGTCTTCACTAGAATTCTGTAAAACTTTTGTTCGTGCTTTGTCTTTTTCCTCTTGAGCAGCTTTTCATTCGTCGTTAAACCATATTTTCTTTTTATTTTTTGGTACATATCTAAGTACTTCCTTTGCTGTTGATATTCTGAGAGTGATTTTTGGTTTTCCAAGGAAATGGTCCAAAATCGCACTACTCCCTCGCATACTCCTTATATCTTTGACACACGATTTTATTCGGTTGTCCACTAACATGTGATCTATTTGATTTCTTACTAACCCACACGGGGAGATCTATATTTGTTGGTGTATATTCTTATGAGAGAAGTACGTGTTACTTATAGTCATATTTTTGACTGTAGCAAAAGTGATAAGTTTGTTTCCATTGTCGTTCGTAATTTCGTGTAGGCTTTCGGATCCAGTTGTTGGTTTATATATGTTTTCCTTTCCAATCTTTGCATTGAAGTCCTCAAATATTATTTTTGGTTTATCAACTGGTAGAGTGTTACACACCAAGTCTTCATAGAATTTGTATTTTATGTCGTCACTCTTATCTTCTGTCGGTGCGTAACAGTTAATTAGGAACATGTAGTACCATTTACATTTGAGTTCTATGTAACATATTCGATCACTTATTGGTTGGAACCTCACGATATTTGTCGCAACGTTATCCCTTATTACGAAAGCTACCCCGCATTCATGTTTATCTCCACCACTGTATAATAATGTATTTCCTTGAGATTTCAAGCTACCTGAGTTTGTCCATCTCATTTCTTAAATCACGGTAATCATCACGCTCAAGACACGATAGAGATGTTGTCAAAGTTCCAATGTTTATGTCCGTTAAATCTTTAATCCGAGGCTTATTGTGTTGTTGTTTCTTAACATCTGTTTTTTTTTATGAAGTAGGTTTGTCGGCCCTACGCCCAACCCCCAACCTGGTTGGCCAAACCACACCAACTAATGAAAGTCAGTGAGGGGCTATTACAGCACACTTTTTGGTGTGCAGGACGATTGGCGACTGACATAAACTGATTGAGCCATTGGATTAGAATCTATTATTTATGGTATCGATCGTTTATGATAATGTTTTTTAAAATCTTCTATTGGACCTAATTCTAGTTTTCTTGAAAATATTAGAGTTGCGTCTAGTCTAACAGAATCTTTGTTTATATTTTCAAGCGATTTAATTGTACCCTCTATTAAATTGCATCAATTATATTCAATTCCTATGCTTCCAACTTCTCTGTGAGTGCTTTGAGTTTATATAATACATTTTTCATAAAAATTATTGAAACAATAAAATCAAATGTTGTTATTTTTTTAAACAGAGCTACTGATTGGCTTTTAGTTTTTCTATCATATAAATTTGAAGAGAAGATTTCTTGCAAAGTTTCAAGAATTATTTCAAACGATGTCCAAACTGCTTTAACCGATTCTGTATGAGCCGTCCATCGCGTTTTTGATGAATTACACAACTGCAAACTACCTTCAATTTCAGATAATTGTTTACTAAGAATTCCATACCGCTTTGTACTAGCATTAAAAAAACACATAGACTCTCTAGGTTACTAATAAAGTTAAGTATAATGACACTAGTATTGCAGCCATGTTCTAAAAATGTGTTAATACGGTGGGCTTGACATGTGATATAAGCAGAGGCCGATTTACGCATAGGAAACCTAGGCACGTGCCTAGGGCGCAACATGTTTCGGGGGCGCCGCAGATTTTTAATATATTGTATTTCTAATTTTATTAATAATTTATAATATATAATAATAAATTATAGTTTAACAATCTATGTTTTATATGGGCTTAGCCATAGATAAAACCGTTCAGACAAACGACAAAAAAAACTCAGTGTGGCAAGGACGCAAGGTCTAAAAGTATTTACGTTATAATTATTAATAGAAATTCCTGGAATAATAATATTGTGAATGTAGCGTGTAGGCATGCACATCAAATATAAGAATATAATTCTAGAAATCAAATGTTACGTTTTTGACAATAATAAGAATAATAAATAATAATAGCCACCGCTACAATCGCGACGCCGTCGACGCCGCGCCGTGACATTTACTCAGGTAAGAGAAAACCGATTACTATAAAATACTAATATACCTATTACCTACGTACTTAAATGAGTTATACATTACCGATTATTTTTGAAATTGTGAATTTTGTGGTAATTGATGTTTATCAACCATAGTGCGTACATTTTAAACATCAAAGATGTCAAGTAAAAAAA